CGTATGACTGAATAGTAATTGAATTTTTTGTTTATCTACATATTTAGTCACATAACCAAAAACAAAATAGAACAGAATAAAGTGTCCTAGTAGGTAACAATAAGTTATTCCTTATAATTACTGTGCTCCTCCTTCTTCGTTTTCATAGATTCATTCTACGTACTTCACTGCTTCCGTTTATCGCTTCTTCATACACATCAAATTCAGAATTAGACTGTATGGACTTCACCTGAACAAGGTTTACTATCTCTTGTTCCATAAAGAATGACACCAAGAATAAAAGTTTTCAAGCTTTGACACATCACTGAATCAAATTTGAGGGTGTTATTACTCATAATTCATGAGTAACACACTCTCAAACTTACTGAGAAGAGAATACAAATGAATGGCAAAAATAATACCTCACACGGGAACAGTCTGCCATCCTTCACACATTTAATAGTTTTGTAAATTCCACCCATACTTTTAGACACAGTGAAACGCTGAATACCATTGAACGGGGTGCAGATCGTACAGCAAACGTGTTTCTTACGAGCCTTGGACTAAAAACAATGATACTCTAGTGCAAAATATGCCTTATCACTGTTCAGTAAATTATCCCATCCTTCATTGCGAATTGAAATTTAACGAAATATCTACTGAAAAAACTGAAAAACGTTAAACACTTGGGCATTCTATACCATGAATTAATTAACCGTGAGAAGTCTGCTTTGAGATAAACCAGGAGATCTTGTTCCCTTAGCCATAATAATGTAAGAGAACGATCCTGTTTCTGTGCTTAAAGCTTGTTTCCGGCCATCCGCTCGTAATACATTCCACTGAGTGAGAAAACTGCAGACATCTCTGAAATATCATTTTCGTTATAAGTGTACTATTTATACTATTTATGGAAAATGAAAGAGGTAAATAATCTTCATCAATAGAAAGTGAAAATCATTCCAGTTTAGATAATGGAAGTCACCGTAAAAAAATTTCAACATCCTTAATCGCAAACAGTATAAAATTAAGGTTAATCACAAAATTGACTTTGATTTCTTCACAACTTTCGGACATCCCTGATCATGTGGACATGGCGCGAATACATATCCAGGGTCTAATCTCGTCGGCAAGACAACTTTTGGTGAAACCTAGAATGAAAATAAATTTGATTATGTTCACAACAATACTGGTTTCTTCGTGATGATATAAGGACAATACAATTTAACAAAAAAAAAGACCTATTGTTGAAAGAAGTAAGATTTGCCTGATCATTCAAAGTTCATTTTACAACATCAAATATTTCATTTCGAATTAACGACGAGTAGCAATGAGTAAAATTCAATAGTCACAATAAAAACAAATTCGTAGAAAAAATTCTAACCAGAATCTAGGTCTCGAATTGTCAGCAAACTTGCCTAATATCTTTCAGATAAAACATGTTTAGAAAAAAAAAACTTTACAGAAGAAGAAAAAAGGACGAAAAATATTTTTAGATACTGAACGCACCATATTTTTAATCAAATTGAAGCGGATGTAATTTGATAATTGCTGATCAGATAAAATAGCTTCTGCTTGTTCACTCATTACTCCTTCTTCTATTAACAATTCTCGAGTATGATCAAGATGCAGTTCACATCCACCCATAAGAATATAATCCCTGGCCTCCATTAAGGCATTATAGCCACCTTTGCAACTTCCCTCGATCAATATCAAATATCTCAAACCATTATTCAATATATTTTTAAAATTTCAATTACCCAGCGATTTCAAATATATTTGAGGGTGTTTATCACATCAAATTCTTGCAAAGGCTTTAAAAACAATTTCTCAAGATCACAAACTTGTTTGTTCGTCTCCATAAATCCATCATTAATTCAATACGTGATTCCCTCGAAGGAAATTCAGAAAGAAGACGATGAACAATAATCACATCAAACGTGTTTTTCAATGACGGTGTTAAAAATCTTCGAAAAGAAACATTAGGATGTACAAATGGAAAGCCATCATTTTCGCCATCTGCCTCAAAATGATACAGTGAGATATGCTGTAGCATCACAGAAAGGGGACTAGAGATTTGGTGCATGAAAAAAATCGACATACCCTTAAAATATCCATACAAAATTGACTTATTTCATCATTGTTATCGATGAGCTCATAATATTTAACTTTTTTTCCCCATTGTTCAAATGCAGCCCAAAATGCGCCACCAGAACCACTTCCGTAATCTAATACTGTTTCCGGGACGTAACCATTGTTTTTGAATTCTTGTAATACGAAAAATACTTCTGCATAATTTGGCATAATCCTAAAACCGTCAGAAAGATAAATAATCATTTTCAAGTTCTTCAGCTCCTTTAAATTTTATATCAACTTAAAAATTTTAGATCTTAATTTATACACAATAACAAAGAAAATTTTAATATTATCTTGTAAAAAACAGAATTGTTGCGACTTGACAAAAAATTAAAGCATTTACATCACTTACATACATATATATAATTAGTACGATGTTTAAATGCAAGAATCAGAAACGAATAAAGTGTGGACTACTAAATTAGGCCTATAATTAGGTTAATAATTAGAAATGAAACTAAAACTCAACGCATTTTTCATTATTGGGACCATTATTAGGTCATAATTCTTTTAATTCGAAAATGAAAACCACTTTACTGAACCAACTTTAAATTTAGATGGTTCTAATAATAAAATACCTTGCTAGTGTGTAGGCTGCGGCATGGTTGCGAGTTTTGAAATTTAACGGCTTCCAATTGAATCTAGTGTGGCGGAGTATTTTATTAGCCTTCTTTTTTATATCTAGTTCAAACGCTTCTACCTAAAAAGTGAGCAAATATGAGAGTTCAAATTCTATCTTAATATCAGACTAACGACTTTAAGATTTAAAAGACTAACAATTTTCGAATTAAAAGAATTATGATCCAATAATCCACCTTCAGCTTCTAATGCTTTCGTAATTTCATTCCGTGCTTCTTTAACCTCTTCTGGAGATGCTGGAAACTGACGATTGTTTAGCGACTGTTTTAGCTGAAAGTAAGATAAATTTTTTAGGATCATAATAAAAAATATGTTATCTCATTAAAACATAAACTAAATAATAATAATAACGCGTTTAAGATTTGAATTCCAAGAGGTATATTGTCTACGAAACTCACAGATTTACCAGATTCTATGGCAAAAATTAAATATAATCCTTTTCTTGAAATCAAAAATGCAATAAGTAAAATCGTAGATGAAATTTACTATTACTCTGAAATGATTACTTCATATTCTAATGCAAAACTTTGGAAAAAGGGTTCGATACATTCGTCAATACAAACTTTAGTTTTTTAAAATTACTAGTTTGTTTTTTTACTATAAGAATCATTTGATTATTTGTACCTGGTCTGCTTCATATTGTAAAGTCTTGGGGTTTTTAGAACATGACGAAAGAGCATTCCATAAACCAAGAATTGCTTTCTTTGGCAATACTCCAGTATATTTATATAATCGTTTATTTCCTGGAAACGTTTTTGCAAGTATTTTATTTCGTTTACTTCATTTAATAATACTACTAATATGCTGGGCCAGTAACTCAAACAGAAAATAAGCATGCAGAAAAACAAAGTCACACAAAATCAATCCAAATTGTTATTATCATTAAGAATGATATGGCACTAACAATTACATCGAAATTGTTGCATTTTATTTCTATCTTTTAATTTATTATCACAGTATCAAGCATAAACTAAAACTTTGGCAGCTGCAAATAGCGTAGTTATAGTGGAAAACCTAGGTTTTACATAGAAAACACCAGTAAACACCAACATCTCCTATCTACAAAGTACTAGAAAGCAATAACTTTAATTTCAAAAGAAGTTAAAAAATACTAGAACGAGTTGACAAAGCTTCCCATTAGTATCATAATAAAGAACAATAAACACGATTTCTGTGATGACGTCAATTGTGATCATGAAAAAATTCGTAAAATTCTGCAAACCTTACCACTGATATCTTTCAGTCGTAAAATACTCCTTGATTCTGTCTCTGCATTTACGGAAATAACGTCAACTAACTGACTGCTCCATCTTCTAAACAATATCGGCTGAGATTTGTATGTGCCTTGAAATAGACCAAATATCGTTTTCATTTCTGATTACTCCATTTACCACAGCATAATTCTCATTCCAATATCGAAGAAATCCTAAGATTCTTTGTAATATTTTTTCTCGCAAAAACTTTGGGTACCAATTTTTTCATAATACAAATGTATGCAATGGAACATTTAGCGAAATAATAGATTTATAATGATCAAAATATGTAATTTTCCATATGTAATTCAAGATATGCCGATGCCAATTGTATAGCTGCTGAAATAACTTTTCATAAACACAAAAAACAAAGAGTGTGGAAACAATAACCACATTCTGAAGTGTAAATCGTCGCTCCACTCAGTTTTCATCTGAAACTGCTGCACACCGAACGATGCGAAGTTTGCGTTATTTGACGAACGAAAAAATTTGTGCCAAATGATAAGCATTTGTATCTTATCAAGCACGCAAGATGGTATATTTGCTGACTGCATTCAATTTTCGCATTGTCAGACTCGGATTTTACTTACGTCTGGAATATTTTTGTGCGTGATTGTACTAAATAAAGTTTGATTGAGAATTGAAAGGGGTATGATTTATATTGAAGACGTGACTACATTTGGTTCTCATTTGAACTCAGTAATCTCAGTATACTCAGTAGATGTATTTGTCTGTTCGTTTTTATTGAATAACAAGCAAAATTGAAATTATAAATGAATCACACGCAAATCACATCTGCAAGAGAGTACAGTTATGTTAGTCAGTTTGTCGGTTTTCCGTTAAATTTCTCTAATACAACAGATATTTGTCCATTTGATAAGTGTATTTGGTTGAAATTTCACGTAAAATGCGTAAAAATACTTGAAATGCGTAAAGGATGGTTGGATTGAGCTTGAGCTTTTCTCAAAAGCTTGTATATGTTTCAAAGTTATACTTAACAGTCGCAAAGTTGACTAATGAATTGCTTTGCATGCTAAAAAGACACTTAGTAATGAATCAAAATAAGTACCAGTTAAGTTTCGATGGCAGAATAAGCAATAATTATTGGGCAATAATAGCAGCATGAAACTATATTATTTGCTTGTTTTCACTTTGTAAAGGCAAATTAAAGAGTATAATGTAATTTGGCAATAAATTACGCTAGAAACTAAAGCGCAATTAGAGTATTTACGGAAATCAGAAGTTGATAGTGAATTTGATGTATTTCATAGTCTCTTCATATTCTTGATATTAATTGTTTTCGATAATTCGCTCAAATTCAAAAATATTTTCCAAGTTTTGTAGACTTAAAAAGGAATGAATATTCATTCAATTGATAATCTCATCAGGAGTGCTTTTCTTCCATATTTTTGATACAGAGAGATACTTCAAGATTTTGAACTAAGTTGAGATTTTCGTAGTTTAAACTATGTAATTACAGTAATCTAGTTTCTGAACAATTAAAATTTTGCGCACTTACCTAACAATGTTGGATTCTTACTAGCAAGAATGACGCTGATGCTTACGAAGACTAATTTATTTGTTGAAAAGTAAATAGTTGCTTGAAGCAGTCTTTGAAACAAAAACAATTACTTGCTCGAAATGTATTCTATAAATTCATTTGAATCATAACCAATTACAATGAATGTAGTGAGATAAAATTACTTTTCCGTATTCGAAAATGAGTGTTGCCATCGTGACCAGAACAGCCACACGCAAATGGTATTATAGTCTCAATTAATGTTAGTAAAAATTATTATATAAAGAGAAAAAATGTAAAGATTAGTTTCGTTTTCGCTCTATTGATTCTGGCTCTCAATCACATTCCCGCACTCTGGCAGTATTTGTCCCGCGCTCACATTTGTTGTGCTTATCGTTTCTGCTTCATCCTCGTGAAATGCATAACGAGGATCGAAGGAGATGCTTTCGAGCATCTTCTTGAAAACTATCGATTGAATGTATGCCTCGACGTAATCAAATATTCTGATCTCCTTCGGGTAGCATTTGCGAAGTTCATTATAATACCATCCCAAATCATCACGTACGGAATTATTTTGGTCCTGCATTTCATCTCTAACCGAAGCTAGTAGGTCATATTTTCGTTTTTTTTCGGACTTGACTGCTGTCAACCAGTCCTGACTATTGATGATGTCAACCTCTATCAGAATTACTTCACGTCGCTTCTTACCTTACATTTCATTAGTGACGATTTCCTGAACGGAATGGCTCGCATGCCTGAAATGCTTTCAGACATACTTCTTACAGAGTCTCAAATGGGTGCATCCTAGGATCTCATTGTGTCTTCTAGTATAGTGATGGATATAACATTTTTTCGCACTGCTTTGCTAGATGTCCACCGTCTTCACACTTTGCCTACAATATTGGTACATACCTTTCTGAGCTCCAAACATATTTCTGTCTTGGAGGTTACAGTATCGTGCTTCACCTTGTGGGGTAATGTTTTTGTATCATAGCCTTATTGATGAATCAGCTGTGGATATATATATTCAACTTTCACATATTTATTTACCTTCTACAACCAGCATGTCTTGCTCTTTTACTTACAACATCTAATAAATAACAATGCATTCACGCATTTTATTCTTATAAATATTTAAAATCGTTGCTTTTAATTATCCATAATATGACGTTTACTTTTAATTTTGTTCATATTTTATTTTTTTGCTTAATTTTTTAGTCTTTTCATCTGCTACAGAACAAGAAGTCAGTCACGCAGTTTTCACAATTAGAATTTGCATTCCAATGAATTCTTTCACTGCCTCGTCCACATTTATTTTCGTCGAAAAATTCAAAAAATTACTGACCACTAATTCAATGATTTTCAAATTCATTGATGGCATCAACACGAATGCACTCAGAAGCACTGCTGCATTATTTCAATCACTCCATAGTTTCTGGACTGCTAGCGAAATTAATAATTATAGTCTTTTAGTAATTAAAAATTGATAAATAATCGAAGACAACAGTGTCATAAATAATTGAGAGTGGTGGTAGAAAAACGGATTGTTAACTCTTTGGTTTTTTAAAAATAGAATGGCAATAAATAAAATATAAAAATCGTTCCTTTTATGGAAAAAGTATTTACTTACTTCTTTTTGTAGCTACACTGGTAATAGCGATTGACTCTTATAAAAACATCTCTGATTTATTTTGGAATATGAGGGATACAGCCAAACTTCGTATTTGCTAACTGACATTATTGTTCGATAGAAGAATGTGAGGTCAATAATTGAACTTTTGATCAAGAAAATTTCATATTATCTATGGTCAAAATTTTGAATTCATCATTATTATCACATATTTAGTATTAATAACTGAGTAACTGTCTAATTCTTCAGCTTTTTATCTTTTTTTAAAATAATTATAAACAAACTTTGAGAGTTATGTTGAGAATTTGAAGTGAAAACTCAATTTCAAACTTGGCATTTCACGTTTTTTGCGTTGTTTCAACTTGGCATTTCACGTTTTCTACACGTTGTTTTGCAAAGGCAAATCTTGTTCTTGTTTCATACGTGTTGATATTTTTTCGCAAATAAACAACATTTAAATGAATGATTTGAAAAAAAGCTCATTAATTTTTAGTTCAAAATTGCATAATTTTATTTTGTTGGTCATTTTCAATATGTGCGCATATTGTAATTCAAATGCCCACTTCACATTCATTTGAATATAGTATCTTCAATCCATTTTGATAACTTTTTAGTTTAACATATAATCACTTCGATTTACTGCAAAAATTTTGTAATACCCATTAAATGCTTTCAATTATTAACAATATTAATGCAACAGCAATAATCTTAACATGCTTATTTATTTGGATAAAGCTCTTGAATATAACATAAAATCCTCTAATTATATTACATATTCATATGAAAAATAAGCAGACTGCTTCTCGAAAGCGAATATTTGACAGATTCTGAAGATCTTGGCTGTAATAAACGTTCTATTTCTATACCTTTTGATTCGCGCCACTATTCTGATAACAAATGATAATGGAGTAAAAGCATTATCATTCATTGCCAAAATTAAATTGTTGTTATTTACAGTCTTTGTTAGTATAAGATATTATACAACTGAATTTTCTAAAATTATTTGTTACTGTATGCGTTATAAACACTTTGTGACTGTTTGCAATAAGAACTGCGAACAAAAGTTGTTGAATACAAACGTTGTAATCATTGAAAGTTCTTGTCACGGACTGAAATCAGAATCAGAAATATTTGATGAAATCAGCAAACTCTTTGCAAGTACTAAACTTTGTAAGATAAAGTATATGCAGATGTTATTATGGGACACTGCCAAAGTAAAGAAGACAAGAAATTGCAAGAACGAAGTCGGGAAATTGACCGTAAAATTAAGGAAAATGCGAGTGAATATTCAAGAGTTATCAAACTGTTATTGCTTGGTAAGTCAACTGAATGACTGATTGAGTGATCGAATAATCGGCTAGCACAGATAATACAAGTTGAAAGTTCAATGCAAATTTTTCTCTGATAAATATTTGATTGTTAGAAATAAAATTGCTAATTTCTGTTGCAAAATTTGCATATTGAAAGAAACATTTGAGCTTATATTAATTTTTACACTTATATTTTCTTATGCAAACTAGTAGTTTTGTATAATTTCCAAGAATAAAAATAAAACAAATATGGCTCAAAATGTGTAAAATTCCGGAAATTTATCTAATCCAAATCAATTCTAAACTTGTCAAGTGATAAGTTTTGAATAAAATCAAGCATATTGTAGGCGCAGGTGAATGTGGTAAGAGTACAATACTGAAGCAAATGAGGTTTGTGAACGAGCAAACTTTCAAATTGACTTCACGTACGTCACGGACGGTCAAAAGAAAGTATAAAATTTATCAGTTATAGTCGAAAGCATAACTGATAATTTTCGTACTTTGCAAATAAAACTTATAATTCACAAAGTTATTTTGATTAGTTACTTTTTGTGTAATTTTCAAATTAAAATTGACATAAACAAATTAAATTAACAGAGATTAAATGTTTCCCTCTTTTGGAATGAATATACAAAAATACCACAAACATCAAGTTCATCCCACATTGTTTGTTTTCATTAAAGACTGCTGAAATATCTCGCATTGTTTCTGATATGCTAAATAAATAAATGTGCAGTAATCTTCTAAAATCGGGTTTTAGTCTTATAATTGTAATTTGCGATAATAATTTCTTCAACCTCGAATTGAAAGCAATAGTAACATTATGTAACATTGAACTTGAATGCTATAATTATTTATTTGATACTGCATTACTATCTTTTATTATTACTGCTATTATTATCATTATCACCATTATCATTATTATTATTATTATTATTATTATTATTATTATTATTATTTCATTTTCATTTATGTTATTATTATTATTATTATTATTACTATTATTATTATTATTATTATAATATTACATTATTTATTGTCTGTACTTGTATTTGCTAGTACATCAGTTTATTTAGATTACACAATCCTTAAAAATTTGCTTGCATGTAACTAAAAACAGTGAGCCAAGTGATGCTATCATTGATATGAATACTATCAGGATTTTGCATAAAAGTGGTTTCACTGAAGATGAACTGTCAAAGCAACGTTTGGTAGTATTTAACAATACAGTCCAGGCAATGGCTGCTATCTTGGAAGCCTTAACACATTATCACATTGCATTTGATAATCCCCTTAGACAAGTTTGTTTTGACAAAAGTTACTTTATATTCATAACTTGTTATTAAGTAGCACTTTTTGCACTAACTGATTCACAATTAAATGTTTTCATGAATTGCAAATGCATTCAATGGTAAATATTAATACTATATTTTCAAAAATTTCTACTTACCACTATTATAATTTATGCTATTTAAGATTCAGCTATGTATTACTGTAGAAGTGCATCAAACTTCGAGTTTTATCTATTCAATACTTCGACATGTTTTTTGAAATTATATATTTTAACACAAGTAAAAGATTTTAAATGTGCACTGACTTTTGTAAAATTAAGAGATTTTGTGTGCTACAGGAGGATGCAGCTGTGATTACAAACGTAGCCAATTTAAATACAAGTACTGAACACGAGGCAATTGCACGCGAAGTTGCGATTGCGATTAAAAACTTGTGGCAAGATTCAGCGGTGCAAAGCATTTACGAGAGAAGATACGAACTTCACCTGCACGAGTCCACAAAATAGTACGCCTTCATTCACTGCGAATTCAAGTTTGAAAAAACTGAAATCAAACAAAGCCGTCAAAAATATAACTGTATTATTTTTACTGAAAGTTAAATAGTTTGGTCAATATTATCTCAGCATTTAGTTCATTTGCTATTAAGTTGTTTAATTTGCTCACGTACGTGAAGCCGTCTTTTATGACTGTTTAATTCATTTTTTAACGAATTACGTTTCTTCTTAATAGTTTTAGTTTGTTTTTTCCTCCCAAACTTTTATCATTTTTCATATATAATTTTTTCGCTTTTTACTTCAATATCAGCAAGTATTCAAAGCATAATGCATAGTACAGTGATGTGATGGAGTAAATTGATATCAAATCTATAATTAATTACAGTAACAAGTTGGATCTCATAGTTGTAAAAATGAGCAAAATTTATATTTCTCAAAGTTTTACACTTTTCTTGCATTAAATACCCAATGATTGTTTTTAGCTAATTGTTTACTTATGAGCAAAATGAAAAAGGACACTTATGTAAATTAGGTGGGAAGTAAAATAAATTCAGTGACCGATTGAGGGAGAAAATTGTATTTTACAACTTATTTATACTTAAGTTTGACTTTTCGATTTTTCATCCAAACTTGGGCGTAAACTTTTTTAATGTTTAAAATATCAATAATAATAGTTAATGCTGAGTTTATTAGTTTGAAATTCAACTAAGTAGGAATGTAATTCACGAAAATTTTACTCAGACTGATTAAATTACAGAATGAAACTCTGACTCAAATCAATCTGATGAAATTTGAATTTTTATCGTCCTTACTAAGTTATCAAAATGCATCATATCAAAAATGGATTAAAATCATTATTTTAAGGAAAGAAGCATGAAGAAAATGAGACTTTTCAAACTCATTACAGTGCCTGAAACTATTAAAAACATCGATTAATTAATTAATTAATTGTTATTGCAGTGCTGAAAAATTAAATAGAAAGTTTTCATTACTTAATTTATAGTTTCTTTGACAATGTCGACCGGATAACAGCTCCAAATTACATACCTAATGAACAAGATATGCTTTTAACAAGAGTAAAGACGACAGGAATTGTGGAAGTTAATTTTATTATTCAGAATACTCGATTTAGGTTTGCTATTTTTTCTTTTTCAAACTTTTAGTTTATAAATTCCTGCCTTTCTTAATTTACTCACTAAATCTTTTTTGAAAAACATTCTTGTGTGATTTTGCATTCATTTTGAATTAAATTTTGTGTTATTAACAAGTCTATCTTAGTTTGCGCATTTCGATGAGCCTAATTTACGAAGTTTAAATTCTGAAATCAAAGAGCAAAAATCTTCTGCTTTAGATTTCGAACCCATAAGTATATTCTAATGTCAAATAAATGGTGTAAATTTGAGTTCTGAGAAATGAGTTAGAAGTACTTTTATGAAGTCAAATTTTAGGGTTTTTGACGTTGGTGGGCAACGTTCAGAGAGAAAAAAATGGATTCACTGCTTTGAAGACGCAAATGCAGTGATTTACATCGCAGCTATCAGCGAATATGATGAAGTTTTGTTCGAAGACAATACTACGGTTGAGCACTTAATGTGTAGCAGAAAATATTTATCCAATCTATTGCAAAAGCTTTAATTTATAGTTTTAATCCAAAATGTAATGGATAAAAATGCATTACTTCAAATACATTCTTCTGCGTTGCAGAATCGAATTTTAGAAAGTATGCGTTTGTTTGAGTCAATATGTAATATCCGCTGGTTCGCCAACACCTCAATTATCTTATTCTTAAACAAGAAAGACTTATTTGCTGAGAAAATCAAAACCAAATCCATTAAAGTTGCCTTCCCACAATACGAAGGTTAGCATTCTCAACTCTTCTGATGTCAACAAGCCATTATCAGAATGAAATGTTTTTAATATCAAAAAAGCTTGTTAGATAAATTCTGAATGTTAGCATTGATTTGTTCTAAAGTTTACAGAAATAAGATTTATTTTAGGGCCTCAAACATTCGAAGATTCTGTCGCCTTCATACGAAAACGCTTCATTGCATTAAATGCAAATCCACAGAAAACAATTTATGTTCATTTAACTTGTGCTACTGATACTAATCATGTCCAAAAGATTTTAGATAATGTTATTGATATGATTTCTCAGAATAACTTAAAAAAATCAGGCTTACTTTAAGTTGTAATCTTATATAATAGTATGGTTATTAATATGTACAAATCCAATGCTTTATTACATCCTTGAATAAAGATGCTCATTTAAAAAGTATGAAAATTTTGTATTCAAATTTATTTTTTCAATTTTATTTAAAAAACAGCAATTCTAGATGGTTGTACTATTTAGGAATTATCCAAGCCTAATTTGTTTTGAAAGAATTATCCCTCTTCGCCTGCATATTAATTATTAATAATTTAGTTAAAAGTTATCATCATTGCATGAGAAAGTTTTAATGAAGGCTTTCCTTCATTAATTAGATCTCTCTTGTTGTCAGTCTTTATTTGAAAACATTAAATATTATTCAGGAATTCGTTCCGAAAGCATTTTGCAGTACAATTTTTTAACTTACTTTCATATCAAATCAATTAAGTAATATAATAGTGGAAATGAATTCAGAAAAGTGTATTTAGCGATTAAAATTAAATTCAAAAGGCACTCAATCAAATTTAATTGCTCTTAATTTCTAATCTCAAAATGAAAACATTACTGAATAATATTTGCAGTAAAAAGTTTTAGAGTGCTTCAGAAGACGTAGAAAATGATTGGCTTTGTATATCGTAACGATCATAAATTTATAATGACTGCGTACCCATTGCTCAGCAGAGCAAATTTGCATTGCAGTTAAGATATTTTGCTTTGATAACATAAATAATTGGCGGTTGAATTATTCTAAATTTAAATTTTTATTAATTTGGATGGCGTTTCGTGTTGTTGGGCGTCTAATAATTTTTTTAAAATGACGGAAAATTTAAATTATCTGATTTAATTTTTTCAAAGTCTTCAAAAACATGAGCAGTTCTATTTATTGTTTGAGGGGTACTTTGAAGTAAAGTAAAGTGCGTAAGTAAAGTTTATTTATGTAGTGAAGAGACTTTAAATAATTGCTTAGAATATAACAAACTGAGAAGACACGTTTGATGACTTTTTGATCACTTCGAATTTTTACATTTTATAATTTACTTGAAAGTTAATAATTTTTAGCTTCGAGCAATGAGGCTATCTTCAAAAAATATTCAGACCTTTTCATTTGCATTGTTGGCCAATATCAATCATATTTTTATACAAAATCAAAGAATCCAAAATGTATTGTTATCATTTCAGTTTCTGATAGATAACTTCTTCTGAGATGAATCTGCGAACTCAGGAAAGCAAAATTCTAGCAATTAAGACTAGGAAAATGCTCTTAAAATTAAACCTTCAAGGTCGTTTTACACACTGTGACTGCAATTTCTCAGAGCACTTTAATGGAAGTTACTCAGACTGAACACTAATTCTAACTTGACGAACTTCGACATCAATTACAGCAAAATTTTTGTAGCCAATATTATGAATTGAGCGTCTGAAGATATTGCTGAATTTCAAGTTAGATAATTAATTGCAGTTTTATCACAATGTGAGCAAGAAAATATGACAAAAAAATTGAATTGAGTTAAAAATGATGCGAGACAAAAATTTTGCATTAATATTTCATTGAAATTTCCAAATTTGACTCTAACGTCACTATCATTATTATTGTTATTATTATTATTATTATTATTAATTATTATCATGTTAATGAATATTTTTACTTCATCTGATAAAAATTCAAAATTTTATTCAATGAAATGATTGTTAATAATTAAACCCAATTCCATAAAAATTTTCGCTTTATTTGTTCAGGAAAGTTTTCGCTTTATTTGTTCGCTCGTAAAAAGTAAAAAAAGTTTAGGCACCAAAAAATTAAAATTTGTAATTAAAACGAAACTAAACTTTCAATGCCTAAAGAAACAATGATTTGATATTTTAATTTTGTATACATTAAAAAACGTTTTATCTATCATTTTTCAAATTCAATTTTATAAATTTAGCAGTTCAAATCATTGAATCGCTATGTCATGTAATAGAATTCAGTTCAGTTTAGAAATAATTCATAGGAATTTATTTCATTTTTTT